GTGCTTATAAAAAAGTTGCTAAATTAAAATTAGAAAAAGAACAAAAAGTCATTTCTCAAACCGCAAAATTAACTTCATTTTTTGGCAATCAATCTCCAATTCGCCAAGTGAAATAGAGACTACAGCTGAACAGATTTTAAATGAGTCTAGTGATAAAAAGTAATTTAAAAATCAAATGTTAACTTTTGTACGTTATTTCAGTTTTATATAAATGAAAAATTTTATAATTTTTTAGTGAACATCCTCTACATAGTACTTTTGAAACCATGGCAAATGAAAATCAATTAATTGAATATTCGGAATTATTAAATACGCCAACTAAAAAACCCAATCCAACACTTTTGGGGGGCGGCAAAATTCCTAAATGCGACCCTGATTATGCCTCATTTTAATTCCAAAAAATATTTTCAATTTAATTAAGTTAATGTTTACGTTAATGTTAATGTTTAAGTTAAAAAATTTACTTATATAAAAATTTAATACATTACAATAAATCAAAAATATATATAAAACTCTTAAGTAATGTGTTCTGTAAATTTCGTAAAATTTTGTAATAATTTTAAGATTCTGATTATTTATACACATATTTGATTATGGACTACAACTTTTTAGTAATATTAGAATTTGCAAAATAAAATTTGTTTTCGTTCCACTCTACTATTAATATTCCAAAAAATCTATTAGCTTCGATACGAAGCTGAGAAGGTATTGGTTTTACTATGATGTTTTTTTTTTTGTGTCTGTTACCACTTTTTTTCAGCTCTCACCGAACGGATTTCTTTCAACGATACGTCAAAAGATCACAAATCGTATCTAGTCGAAGACATTACCCTTAAAAATTGAAAAAATTTCCCTCGTTCCCCGTAAATGGGGGAAACCTTCAAAAAAATTACAAATTTAAAAATCGCTAATTTTCCAATTTTTTTAAATTTTGTTTACTAAAAACTGCCGTAACTTTTTCAAAAATGAACATATCAATATAACTTTTTTTTTTATAGATGCTTGATGTCTTTACCTATCATTTGGTATTTTTTTTTTGTAAATTTGACCCTTTATCTGCCCACAGGGGGGATTTAAAATGACAACTTTTTCACAAAAAATTAACTTTTGAAAATGTTCCAGAAGGTCTGATACTTTTTTATATATCTTACATTAAAGGCAATGTAATGTACTTTAATTTGAAAAAAAAAAATTGACCACTGGACTTGTCTTCGTAGNATTAAAGATAATGTAATATAAATCATTATGAAAAAAAAAAATTGACCTCTGGACTTGTCTTCACGGTGAAAATAGACATCAAAGTTAATAAAAAATTACGATTTTTGTAAAATAATTTTTAACTTTATATTTTTAACTTAATAATGCTATAACTTTTTGGAAAATGTATGGATAAGTAATTTTTTTTTTATATAGATGCTTGATGTCTTTACTTATCATTTGGTATATTTTTTTTGTAAAATAGACCCTTAACCTGCCACAGGAGGGGATTTAAAATGACAACTTTTTCACTAAAAATTTACTTTTTCAACTTGACTTTTGAAAATGTTCCGGAAAGTCTGACACTTTTATATATATCTTAAATTAAAGATAATGTAATATAAATCATTATGAAAAAAAAAAATTGACCTCTGGACTTGTCTTCACGGTGAAAATAGACATCAAAGTTAATAAAAAATTACGATTTTTGTAAAATAATTTTTAACTTTATATTTTTAACTTAATAATGCTATAACTTTTTGGAAAATGTATGGATAAGTAATTTTTTTTTTATATAGATGCTTGATGTCTTTACTTATCATTTGGTATATTTTTTTTGTAAAATAGACCCTTAACCTGCCACAGGAGGGGATTTAAAATGACAACTTTTTCACTAAAAATTTACTTTTTCAACTTGACTTTTGAAAATGTTCCGGAAAGTCTGACACTTTTATATATATCTTAAATTAAAGATAATGTAATATAAATCATTATGAAAAAAAAAAATTGACCTCTGGACTTGTCTTCACGGTGAAAATAGACATCAAAGTTAATAAAAAATTACGATTTTTGTAAAATAATTTTTAACTTTATATTTTTAACTTAATAATGCTATAACTTATTGAAAAGTGTATGGTTCAAAATAATTTTTTTATGAGAAATAATATTTTTTAATAATCCCTTTTTCATTCTGGATATTAATAAGGAAATAGCAGATCATGTAGCTTTTGGAATAATCCACCAATTTTTTAAAATTAAACACTATCTAAAGATTTGCATCGAAGCGTTTTATTTGATAGTGATTTTAATCACTGTCAGATATCATTATACTAGATCCAACTATGCCACGTCACCACTGTGCTGGGTTCTTTTTTACTATTATATTATGTTAATCAGATGAATATAAAATATATTATAGGATCAACCGACTTTTTTTTTTGTAAACCATTATACCGGTTTAGAAATAGCACATATGTTATTTTGTTATTGTCTGGTAAATATTTTTATTGTATTTTTTATACAATAAAATTTGTGATTCATTATCCAAGTTTTTTTAATTTTAATGACTAAGTATTATACATACGGCTTTTTTGCTAATAATATTTTTTATGGTAAACATTTAGTTCTACAAGTTTAATTCTATAATTTTTCCTGTGAATAGAATAGATTAAAAGATAAGTGATAAAAACGAAAAAATTACCCTCACAGTCAAATTTTCGACCCTCTTGCGGCACCCGAAAGTATAAAAAAAAAATTTTTTTTTATCTCCCATAATAAGGAGACTAAACTGCAACTTTTTTTTATCTACTAGAATTCAATTATCAACATTTTCAATATTTCGTTCCACCCTAGTGTATGTACCTAATTATTTACGTATAATGTAATGTTGGCTGCGCGTTTCTAGATGCGTGCATAGAAATCACACCTTTAGTTCAATGATTTTCTCAATTTTTCAATCATAAAGTTTTTTTTATGTTCATTACTTATACCTTATAATGATCTAATTATGAAAAAAATATAGTTTAAAAAAACTAAAAAAACACGCTTTTAAAGTACATCGAACTAAAAAGTTAAAAATAATTTTTAAAATAAGCTTAAAACAATAATGAACAATAATTGATAGTATGTTACTATCAATATCATGGTTGTTACGGGTAACGGGAAATCAGGGTTCGATATTGGGGAGAGAGTCTGAGAAACGGCTACCACATCCAAGGAAAGCAGCAAGCGTGTAAATTACCCATTCCCGGAACATGGAGGTAGTGACGAAAAATGACGATACAGAAATCATCCTTTGTAATCGTAATGAATACACTCTATATCTCTTAATGAGAGTAAAGCGTGTTAATATATATTTTTAATAGTAATTCGAATATATATATATACATGTAAAGCGACTTAAGTACGTAAACGTATCATGCACTAGGTATATCCTTGTTTTGTGGGCGGGGGTACGTTATACCTAAGGTATAAACGCCGGAAGCGGCGGTAGGAATATATAAATATATATACGTAAGGTGCATTACACGCGTGCGGTATTGGTCAATCAAAATAAAAATTTATTTATATATACAGGGTGATTTTTTTATCATAACCCACTCAATTACTTGCAGAATAATAATAATTTAAACATTTTTTTTTTTTATTATCTTTAGTTACACATTATTCTTGAATTTTTAACTATGTAATACTTTTTAAGTTCATCCCTTATGCCTTAGAGGGGGGTCAACTTTGTTTTTTTAAATGGAAACACATATTTTTAATTTAATAAAATGTTTGAGTTTTTAATTTAATAGTAAATGGCATTTGAATTTTTAATATAACTTTATTAGCTTATTAGATATAAACATTTAAAGTTTCAAAATTTTGAGTTAATATACATGTATAATACACATGGGATTGTAAATACAGGTAGCTAATTGGATTTTTATGACATTGCTGTCTCATTCACGGATTGTTTATTATCAATTATGATTATCAATAGATATACTTTCTGTATTGTCAGTTAGTGTATTTATAAACTCATAACAATGTGCCTTACTACAATTGATAATAACAATGCTGTGTACCTGCTAATATCGATGTTATAAAAAACCAATTAGCTACCTATATTTGTAATCCCTTGTGTATTATACCTGTATATTAATTCAAAAATTTGAAACTTTAAATGATTATATCTAATAAACGAATTAAGTTATATTAAAAATTCAAATGCCATTTACTATTAAATTAAAAACTCAAACATTTTATTAAATTAAAAATACGTGTTACCATTTAAAAAAACGAAGTTGACACCCCTCTAAGGCATAAGGGATGAACTTAAAAAGTATTACATAGTTAATAATTCAAGAATAATGTGTAACTAAAGATAGTAATAAAAAAAAATGTTTAAATTATTATTATTCTGCAAGTAATTGAGTGGGTTATGATAAAAAAATCACCCTGTATATATATAATTGATGACACGCGCTTGTCTAAGGGTTGGAAAATATTGTTGTCGACGAGGGGTGAGCGGGGTGGGGTGAATGAGTTACGACCGTTTAGTCTCAAGGCCGTAGACACGTGCGCGTGGAAAGTTACAAATAACACACAACATACATGTGAAACTCATATAAGCGTGTTAAAAAAACTATAACCTAAATACTGGTCTAAAAATTTTCATCGACGAGTCATTTTCACAATTAGATTATTATCTACTAAATAAGCTAGTTAATTAGTGGTGTTACCTTTTGAGAAATTAACATAGACACCATTATAAGGTATAAGTAATGAACATAAAAAAACTTTATAATTGAGAAATTGAGAGAAACATTGAACTAAAAGATACTAAAAAAAATGATTAATATTATTTTTATTTTTCGATTAATTAAAAGGTTCATGATAAGTAAATAACTTTGTATATATATAATAATTTGTAGCGGTTATATATATATATATAGATTTAATTATAAAAGTAATTGTGTCCAGTACTTTTTGAATAGACCTTGTGTAATAAATTATTATTAATAATTCATTTTTAATACTTCATATAATTCATCTTTTTTTTCCATTATCTGTAAAAATGACTTTAGAATAAGTGGTTGGTAGAGAACCGTAGTGTTTTCAACTTCTCCTACGATGTGGTGCATCATAGTTAAAATAGCTTCATTAACAAACTCATCATTAGTAATAAAGTTTTTTAAAACCAATCCATAATTAAGCATTATGTCAGGAGCCGCAAACCTTCATAAAAATAATAATTTTAATATAAAAACTTAATTTGAATAATTATATTAATAATTAAGAAGTAAGAATTATTGTAATCTGTTTATGAATACTCAATAAGTTGTAAGTATATTTACATATTTATTTTCTAAAATCTGGTATATAAATTTTAGCAATTTTTAGAAGATTAAAAATAAATTTTTAATTTTAAATGCGTCTTATGAAAATCGAAAATTTTGAAGTGCAAAAACCTACATTATTATTTAAATAGACACACATTTTTTGGTATATGACAGATAAAAATCGTATTTTTGTGAAGTATGAGCTTTTAGATACATGCCACAGATAAATAATATATACATATAGAAATTTTATGATACGTTTACTTTTTAACATGTGCTCGTATGCTTTCTTTGAGGTTGCAAAAATGTTTGATGTTATCAAAAAATATTAGCACCATATGGTTTGTGGTTATCAAGTCCTGCAAATACTCAATTGTCTGTATATCTTTATCATAATGCCGGATGAGTAGAGCAAATAATGATTTAAAATCTTGTGCCCAGGAGATAGAATCTGGCGAATTAAAACCGGAATCTAATAAATACAATATTAAATAAAAAAATAATTAATAAATAGTTAAAAAAGTCAAATTAAATTTTCAAAATAAGAAACTTTATAACTACTTTTGAGATCTATTTTCAAATTATTAATGAAATCTTCATAAATAGAAGACAATCCGACAACGGATTGTCTATAATACTCAATTGTTTTGATTACTTCTTTAATAGCCATTACTACCTAGAATAAGATGTCATTTAAACCACTTAATTAAAAGAGATATTTGAAGCACTTTGTGACAAATGTCTTTCTAATCTCGATAGTAGCATAGCCAATGGAGCACAGATACCACGACTCTCCCATTGACAGCAATAATTATTTTTAAAATTAAGTGATAAGCAAACAACAAAGTCTAATGTATAGAATTTTGTAAATTATTTCACTACCCATCCCCTCATTATGAAATCCTGACTCATAGCGCCGCTTTGTTTGTCAAAAGGAATTAAAGATAAATCAATTACCAGATGTAAGTGTCGGACAGGCAAATGAATATCATGAGCTTTTTGCCGTTTAGCTACCATCAGATGTTCTAATACTTTGAGCCCTTCATGAGCCATGAATGAAATCAACTGAAATGAAACGATTTTTCTGCAAAAACAAACATGAACAAAAAATATATTTTTATTAATGAATATTGTACTTTAATGTTTAAATCTTGAATAATCAATAAACAGTACAATTATCTTAAATAAAAGTATTCGTATTATTAGCTTATAACCAAAATAAAAACAAAAATTAATTGATTTGTCCATATTTTATTTCATTCAATTTTAAAATTAGGATCATTCAAATTTCTTAAATAAATAATAATCACTATTCTAATGAATTATAATAAAAACTTGTAATTTTGTTATCAATATCAAATTAATTTATTGTATTAGATTGGAACTCACCTAACTATTTTCAAATCGATTTCTACTATTTTACAAAATCTACAAAAATAAGTGAGAAGCCAAAAATATAGAGAAGTGTCGATATGGTGGTGTGCATTCGAATTTAATTGGTTGTAAACTTCAATAATTAGAGTATTGAAACCGTTGCGCAAAAAGTGTATCGTAAACTTTTGAAGCAAATGTGATATTTGATCCTCAGTCGGAGTAAGACCAATAGCAGGCGACACTCGAACTACATTTAATCTAAAACAAAATTAACTTAAATAATAATAAACGTATAATAAAAACGAGTACTTTATAATTATTATGAATATTCTCACTTTGATTTTTTGGTCACTTTTTTCATTCGCGTTTTAGATTTTTTATTGCTATTAAATAAAGGTTGGGGATCTGATATTTTATTATAAGCGTTGTTATTTTGGTTAACTACAACTTCACTAGGTTTTATCGAAGAAATTTCTTCATTTGCATGAGGATTTAATTTATTTTTTTTGTGGTTATTTAATTGTTCCCTAGAAGAAAATAATATAACCTAAGTAAATTCTGCAGTAATAAACGTAAGTGTATTTTTTACAATTTACCAATCAACCCTGACAGAAACTGGTTCTTTGAATACACTCTGAGATTTTACATCATTAATATCAATGTACTGTGTATCCATAGCTTCTTCACTATCCTGTCAATAAGAATGTTTATATTTTTCTAGTTCATTGTTTTAACATAGCATAGACTGTCTATTATCCCTCATTTAAATTATATCTATTAGAAATATTCTGTATATCTAACAGTCAATAAAAAACCATGTAATAGCTTTTCTTAGACTCGATTTTATCGGTACTTATTTTGCAAAGAAATTTTTATCCGATGCTCGATTTTTGATCATATTTTTACTTGGTACTCGATATTAGGTTATAATATCATGGTTATTTAGTACAATTTAAATCAGTCTCACTTTGTAAAAACTTTATTACTCGGTTAGTTAATCAATTAGATTTTACATACGTAATTGAAGTGAAAAACTACTCCTGCAATTAAACTCTAGTTACATTTTCAAAATTAAATTACTAAAAAAGAAATTAGATAACTTTATTTTTAGTTAGGTATGAAATGTCAAATCTATGTTTTTATTTAATTTGATTTTAATTATTAAATACAGAAAAAAAAATATTTTTGCACAGTGGGATCGTGGCATAGTTGGGTCCATTATAGATGATATCTGACAGTGATTAAAATCACTATCATAAAAAATGCTTCGATACAAATCTTTAGATAGTGTTTAATTTAAAAAAATTGATGGATTACTCCAAAAGCTACATGATCTGCTATTTCCATATTTATATCCTGATTAAGATAAAGTATGTCGATTGAAAGAGGGATACAAATATTATTTGTAGATAGTGTTTAATTTATAAAAAAAAAATTGTTAAAATAGCATATTTTTGAATACGGTAGCCTTTTGTGCATAGAAGGTAGGTCATCGGGACAAATTTTTTTTTTTTTTTTATAGTACATGAAATAAGCTTTAATTTGATATATGTTTAAAGGACGCAGTATTTCCGGAACATTTTCAAAAATTAAGTTGAAAAAGTTATTTTTTGTAAAAAAGTTACTATTTTAAATCGCCCCCAATGTGCAGGTTAAGTATTAGATTTTCAAAAAAATAATATCAAATGAAAGCGAATTATCTAAGGTTTTAATATAAAAAAAAATTATGTTGATTTGTTTATTTTTGAAAAAGTTATGGAAGTTTTAAGAAAAAAAAGTGAAAAAAATGACAAAATTTACCGATTTTTAAATTTGTAATTTTTTTTGGATATTTCCCCCATTT